CGACAAAATCCCAAATCAGTAAGCTAGGTCATTTGGGGTGGATCATCGTCGAGAAAAAACCAAATGAGTGAGTTAGGTCATTTGGGATGGATCGAAGGCGACAAAACCCCAAATCAGTAAGCTAGGTCATTTGGGGTGGATCGACGTCGAGAAAACACCAAATGAGTGAGTTAGGTCATTTGGGGTGGATCGAAGGCGACAAAACCCTAAATCAGTAAGCTAGGTCATTTGGGGTGGATCGACATCGAGAAAACACCAAATGAGTAAGTTTGGGCCAAAACACAACTTAGGTCTCACCTTAATTCGGCCAAAACTTTCCTCACACAACATTAATCACAAACCATAACATAAAATGAAAGAACACATCAAATGACCCAACTTAGTACTTAAGATTCATAGTTCAAGGACATAACTTAGTCTTCATCACAAATAACCCAACTACAGAATTAATAGAGTTCAACACAGCCAAAGTTAACACATTACAAGCTTTAGTCCAAAGCTATTACAAAAGACAATGACCCACATGGTCAGACTACAACTCAACTTAGTCTTCATCACAAATAGCCTTAATCTGGTGAAGCTTTCTCTTGTTACTATCACCTGCTGTCTTGAGCTCAACAATGCAGGAAGCAAGAGTACTCTTCTCCATGGTCAACTTCTCCTTCTCTTTCATCAGCTCAGCAATGCAACTGTCCACCTGATCCTTCTCTTTCTTCAGGTCATCCTTCTCTTTCTTCAGGTCAGCATAGCAAATCTTCAAAGTCCTCTTATCAGAGCTCATCTTTTCCTTCTCTTTGAGATGCTTGAACTTCAAATTCCTAATGACAGTGGCTTGAGCTACATGAATTAACTTTAACTGGTCATGAGCAGCCTTCCATTTTTTGATCTCCTCATCCTTTGCAAAGCTGCTTTCCACACTGATTGTAATGTTCTCAGCATCATCATTCTTATGATTTACCTCACGCAGGTTATCCTGTGAATCTAGGAGGTTGTTAACATCTTCAACAAGCTTCTCATATGTCTCCTGCAGCTCTTTTTTTTGCTGTGTGAGTATGTGTACAGTAGATGAATGCTCCAGGCATGCCATCCTATTGTCATGCTGGCTACGCTCATACATAATCCACAGCTTGTGAAGAGCATTCTGCAGATGATCTGGCCACTCCTCATCTACCCACTGCACTAATCCACAATTATTAGCACCCTGCAAAGAAGTTACAGATTAAATTAGTTACAGAAAAAATCAGTTAAGTTAATGTACCACATTCAGTTAGGTTAAAGTACAAGATTCAATTAAGTTAATTGATCAGATTCAGTTAAGTTAATTATCAGATTCAGTTAAGTTAATTGATCAGATTCAGTTAAGTTAATCTACCATATTCAGTTAAGTCAATCTACCATATTCAGTTAAGTTTATCTACCAGATTCAGTTAATAAAGAGTTACTATCAACCATAGAACAGTTACTACGAACCCTAGAACAGAACATGAACAATACCTATGAACCCTAGACCATGAACAGTAAATATGAACCCTAGATGATGAACTGGACTGCTGCAAAGCTAGGACTAAATACTTACTTCAGTGGCACAGGCAATGAACCTCCTCCCAGTGCTTATCCCCTCGAATGCAACACATTTCCTCCCTGGATTCCCATGCTCGCACATCACCATCAAATCGTCAGCAGCACCCTCGAACAACGGGTCATCACTCGTAGCTGGGATCTGGGCAATCCAACACAAACTTGTTCAAAACGAGCAGAACTAGTAGAACCCTAGAACACGTACTCCCTAGAACACAAATGAGCGGCGGCCAAAACAAACAGAGAACCAGAGGAACAACTGACCTTGAGAGGGGAGTCGGGAGTGAGGTTGTACTGCGCGGCGGAGCCATCAGTGCTTTCGCTCTCGCTCCAGGACACCATGGCGGCCGGCGGCTGCCGGAGAGGAAGAGGAGAACGAAGAAGGGAGAAAGAGTGCGGGCGAGATTTGTGAGAGAGCTAGTGCGGTCGGGCGAGCCGACCGCGTCGGTTTGACCAAGTAGTGAGTAACGGCGCCGTCCGCCTCGCCGTTACGCCACGTCACCTATTTTGGGTCCCACCTGTCGGAAACGCCCTTAGAGGCTGCAAATCAAGTGATCAGTGCTTTTTGCAAAAAATTTACCGAATGCGCAGTGTCTTTTGCAAATGATTAGAGACCAGGTTGTTTTCCGCAGAAGAAGCCCCAAATATGGTGGTTTTTTTGCAATTAACTCGTCTCCCGGGCGAGACACGACGGCCGGCGGGATCCGCGCCGCCAAGCACCCTCGCTGCCGCGGCCGGAGAGAGTCAGGAATGTTCGTTTTGCAGGCGAGCGGCGCGGCGGCTTGATAGGTGGTGGCGCTGACGGCCACGAACGCGCGCCTCTACGACGCCGCCGCCGCCGCCATCCCGGCGCTCCTCGACTCACCTCTTCGACGCCGACGCGCTCAAGCGCCTCCTCGTCGTCATAGCGCAGGGCGTCGACGTCGCCCACTCTTGCCGCAGGTTCGGTTCGGTCAAATCCCTCCTCCTCTCGCCCCATGCGCCGCGGATACTGACGGAATTTCCACTACTGGCTGGCGGCTGCGTGCAGGTGGTCAAAGAACGTGGCGGCGCAGTCGGCTACCTCTGCTACCTGCGCCGTCGCTGGAGGTGAAGAAGCTAATCTGCCTCTACTAGAGTCGCCGGGCGCCGGATTGCTAACAAGAAATGGAAAGGCAAGAGGGGGCCTTTAAGTCGGGCTCTGCGCTCCAGCGCCCGCCATCAGTTCGACGAAATGCCGCCTACCCTCCTCCTTAGGTGCTCTGTACACGGCCGACGGGCGGAGCCGCTTGTGCAGGACACGCTGGAAGATCATCGTGCGCAAGTAGTTCTACCGCATGTCATCATGGCCTCTTGGGGAACCGAGTTGAATGGACATGTGGTCGACACACTGCTCCGGGAGAAAGGTAGATGGATGGCATCACGGAGCCGAACACGACCACCAACTAAGGCTACAGTTTTCATGGTGATCAAGGCACTGCTTTGCGAGTGACGACTGGCTGGGTGGTCCACACGCGGGGTGCTCCGACTAAATTCGCGGCGAGGGTGTGTCTACTGAAATAAGTGCTTGATCAGATGACCAGATAAGTGATGTGTCCCTGCTTTCTTTCTTTGTTTAAGAGGCACTGCATTTGTTTCCTTTGATCTATATCCATTAGCAAATGCGGCTGTCCATGAACTCGCTCAACTAGCTTTTACGTGTACAACACATTGTAATGTATGGCTTCTACAAAGCTTGAGATTGTAGCACTTACTCAATTTTTTTTGTGGCAAAACAGTTGTAACATGCTATGTATTTCCAATCTATCCGATCAGGAGATTGGGAATGAGACACACACAAAAGAATCTTCAAGAGTTTGGAGGGAGGATAAGAGCAGAAACAGTACAGAAACTAAGCACCCAGACTGCTTGAGATTGTGACACTTATTCTTAGTAATCAATATAGCTCTCTTTTCTCACTGACAAATGTGTGTCTGTTCGTGTAACTTTGTAATTACATTGCTAATCTTGGTGATAACTGACACTGCTGTCATACTTGCTGTATGGTCCATGACAATATGTGAATACTCCAATCTATTGTTCTTATTCAGTAAATCTCATTGTGATCATGTTAATGCTAATCATGTACTGGAAATTCCGGTAAAGAAACAATGTAGGGTAAACTCAATCATTATTCTGTTTCCATACTCAACTTGAAGAGCCAACATATTCTACCATGTCAAATAATAATAATTCTGCTGGCTTAAATCAATATCATATCTGGCAGTGACAGGTTGTTATTCTTATCTGAATTTGACCCTTCAACCTTTCTACCTTATAATTAACACGTTTACGTTATAAAAAGAAGAATTGAAGTTCCACTGTGCAATCAAAGTCATGGCCTCAAAATGACAAATCTGCTGATCTAAAACAAACTCTAGTAGTGACAGGTTGTTAATTTATTATATCCTGATGTGAATTAGACCTAATCTTTCATGCAACCTTCCTATTAGCAGCCCCTGAGATTGATAAGCACGTTGACCCTAATGGGCTGCCCAATAAGCAGTCTGAACAGCATATAAAACATAGAATTGAAGGGCACCATCACCATCTCCTTCCTAATCTTGCCCTCTAAGGTTCAAGGTCTTCGGAGGTTGGGTGTGCTGCATGCAAAGCCATGGCTTCCAAAAAGATGGCGCACATTATGACTCAAGGACAAGGGGAAACTAGCTATACTCAACTCTAGTATTCAGGTATTTTCTCTTCTGTCTATTAATTTAGTACTGTTGACTCTACGGTCTCTTGGAACTTGGCTTCCGAAGATTCTCTCACCAAGAATTTGTTCACAATATATCTTATATTACTGGCATTTAAATTAACACCATTATGCAAAATAAGAACAAGAATTGGGATAGATTTAGATTTTTCTGAATAAGTACATGTCAACTGCAGAATGCTGAGCAGAAGAAGATGAAAAAACCCTGATTGAAGCGGTCATCATTGAATTATGCAGCAGCACCGGCACCTTGCAGCCCAGCAAGATGATGATCGTGGACTTGGGCTGCTCCACTGGTCCAAATGCGCTTGCATTGGTATCGATCACCGTTGAGGCGATCCACGCTAATTGTCTTCAGTTCCAGCAACCACCACCGGAAGTGTGTGTGCTCCTCAACGATCTCCCCGAGAACGACTTCAACACGGTGGTGAAGAGCCTGGTCACGCTCCGTCAAAGCAGCGATCCTGTTGCCGTGACCGGTATCACACCAGGCTCGTTTTACGAGCGGCTCTTCACCAGTGAATCCTTGCATCTTGTTTGCTCGTCCAATAGCTTGCATTGGCTCTCAAAGGTGTGAGTTTGATGCTACTGGATGGATCAATCCACTGCATTACTCATTGACTCTGTAAGCAAAACCTTATGTTTACAGGCTCCAGAAGATCTAACAAAAAATCTCATCCCAGCATATGACATTGATGAGCATTCTAGGCATGAAAGGCTCTTCCCATGGTGCTTGAGGCTTATGCAAAACAGTACAGAAAAGATTTCACACTTTTTCTGGAGCTGAGAGCCAAAGAGTTGGTCTCAGGAGGCCGAATGATTGTTTCTCTGGTAGGGAGGCGTTCTGATGCAATCGCCACCAAATTCTCTTATATTTTAGAATTGTAGCTCAGATTCTATGTGTCATGGTCTCAGAGGTAAACTGCTTTACTTTCTTTTCTAGCATGTATCTTTTGCGATAGAACTCGTGCGGGCACTATATTTGACCTCATGATCTTATGGTTATATAAACAGGGTGTGATTGAAAAAAAAAGTTTGTTCCTTTTATGGGCTATTGTATGAATCTTCCAGCAAAGAGCTGAGGGAAATCATCCAAGAAGAGGGCTCCTTTTCAATCAGGGAGATGCGGGCACATGACCCTAGAACCGATATGAACAATGCTCTCAGCACCCCAGGCAGGTTCACGAGATTTCTTAGAGCTTTGTTTGAGCCGGTATTGGTCCAACATTTTGGAGATGTCATGGATGAATTCGTGAAGACCACGGAGCGGCGGTGGGTCCTAGAGGGAAGCTTGCAAGAGGAGAGGGCTAGATGTCCTTATGCTATGCTGGTTGTATCCCTTGCAAAGGCATGATTATCAGGTCCCTAAAGGTAACATCACATTTGATGATAGTGAACAGATGCTTTCTTTGAGGCCAAACGTGTGCCCACTTGATTCCGTAGACTAAAATCCATAGCGTGCTTTGAAGGTATTCAACATTCTGATGTATACCATATGCACATGTTTAACGGAACCATTTTTTTATGGAACATGGTCATGGATGAATTCATAAGGGCCGAAAAGAAGCACTGGAGCCTGCAACGCAGCTCGCAAGCTGTGTGTACCAAAACCCGAGAGTGATGCTGGTTTTATCGGGGGGTTTTCGACAAAGGGTGGATTTTATCCTTACCAAGGCATGACATGGCAACTGGTGTGTGACTTCTTAGCTTATATCTATCACAATGGCATGGCATGTTCGTAAAATTGAAGAGACAAAAAGATAAGTACCTGCTGAAATAAAATTTTAATTATCATTGTCAAGTGTTTGTATCTTCCCCTTATCTGACAATGTAGTTGAGTTTAATATTGATGTTCCGCTGATGTATAGGAAATTCCCTTCTGTTCATATGGTAATTTGAAAAATAGAATAGGACTCCTCACTAGTACAGAACATGCCATCTCTAGCTGTTCAAAAAACCCATCAGTGGCGGTTTACAGGACCGCCAGATCGTCAGTGATAGGTCAGTCCATCAGAGGCAGTTACCAACCGCCTGAAAGGACAATATGTGAGCACTCCAGTTAGTATCTGATTGTATATTCAATATGGTGCTTGTGTAATGCTAGTATTGTGCTAGGAATTACAGTAAAAATATATATGCCGGAAATTCAGTTAGTATCTGATTGTATATTCAACTGGAAGAGCCAACAAAATTTAACCATGTCAAATAACGATCCTGTTGGTCTAAACAAATATCCTCTGTAGTAGTGACAGATTGTTTTTCTTATCCGAATTCGACCCTTTAGTCTTTCTAGCTGGCCCAAACAGCAGTTACAAATAACAGATTGAGAAGCACATTGACCATTTTATTGCCCAAAGCAGCCAGAACAGTCATCCCTGTTGAGCACTGTAAAAGAAAATTTGAACTTCCAGCTCAAGCGGAGCAATGGCCTCAAAATAACAGGTAGCTGGTATAAGACAAACTCTGGTAGTGATAGGTTGTTAATGTATTATATGCTGATTTGGGTTTGACCCAATCTTTCATTAAACCTGTGTATGAGCTGGCCCTAGGATTGATAAGCACGTTGACCCATTTGCTTTGCCCAATAAGCAGCCAGAAGAGCCATCCCCAGCTAGCATAAAAAAACAAGAGCTGAACTTCCAGTACATCGTTGCCAACTCACCGCCTGCTTCCTAATCTTGCTCTCTCAGGTTCAAGTCTCTGGAGGTTAGCCCTGCTGCAAGCAAAGCCATGGCTTCCAAACAGATGGTGCATATGAATCATGGACAAGGCGAAACTAGCTACGCTCACAACTCCAGTTTTCAGGTAATTTCTGCTCTCTTAATTAGCTGATGAGTGTTGTTTCTACGGCCCCTTCTCCTGAAACTTGGCTTCTGAAGACTGTCTCATCAGGAATTTGCTCATAATATATCTTACATTACTAACAACTAAAGTAACACCATAATGAAAAATAAAAACAATATTGGGAAAGATTAAACTAGATTTCTGAAGAAGTACGAGTCGACTGCAGAGTGCTGAGCAGAACAGGATGAAGCCCCTGATAGAAGCAGCGATCGTCGAATTATGCAGCAACACCACCACCATGTCCCACGGGAAGATGGTGATTGCTGACTTGGGCTGCTCCTGTGGCCCAAATGCGGTAGCACTGGTGTCCATCGCCCTCGAGGCCACCCACAGCCACTTTCTTTGGTTGCGGCAGCCACCTCCGGAAGTCTCTGTACTCCTCAATGATCTCCCATACAATGACTTCAACGCGGTGGTGAAAAGCCTGGTTGCGGTCCGTCAAATCGGCGAGCCTCTTGTCGTAACTGGTGCTGTGCCAGGGTCATTCAATGAGAGGCTCTTCCTTAGTGCCTCCGTGCATCTTTTCTGTTCATCCAACAGTCTTTATTGGCTCTCGAAGGTATGAGTTTGTTTGACACCACTCCAGTAGCATTCGTCCCTTCACTATCTGATCGTTCAGAGGTACAGGCTCCTGAAGATTTGAGGATAAACCAGATCCCGGCGTATGACATTGATGAGAATGCCAGGCGTGAAAGACTCCCAGTGGTCGCTGGAGCTTATGCACAGCAATTCAGGAAAGATTTCACGCTTTTCCTGCAGCTGAGAGCCAAAGAATTGGTCCCGGAAGGCCGGATGGTTGTTTCGCTCCAGGGGAGGCGTTCTGATGAGCCCGTCACCGAGAGCTCTCTCATCTGGGGAACTGCAGCTCAGATTTTAGGCACCATGGCCTCAGAGGTAAATGCAAGCTTTACTTTTTTTCTTATGAAACAAGGCAAAAGACTTGCCATTTTCATTGATTAAGAAGAAGAGAATTGCCCGGTTAATTGACGGAAAACCAAGGCAAGCTTTACTTTTGAACCATGTTGTCATTTGCTAATGAGCATTTTTGGATAACTAGCAGGGTGTGATTGACAAAGAAAAACTTGATTCTTTGTACATACCGGTGCATGGACCTTCCGACGAAGAGCTGAGAGAGATCATCCAAGAAGAGGGCTCCTTCTCAATCACAGAGATGCGGGTGCACGACCCTATAAGCGGCATGGACCGCGCGCTCCTCACCCCAAACAGGCTGGTGAACAGTCTGAGAGCTGCTTTCGAGCCAATAATAGTCCAGCATTTTGGATCGCCTGGAGAGATCATGGATGAATTCGTGAGGACCGGCGAGAAGCACTTGAGCCTGCAGCGCAGGTCACAGGTCAAGCACGCCAGAAACCCGAGAGTTATGCTGGTTGTATCACTCACCAAGGCATGACATGGCAATTGACGTGCTGCTGCTGCTAGTCTGTATCCCTCACCAATTTGTGTCATGCCTGTGAAATTCAACGTCGAACTTAACCGGATTTGTGAGAGACGGACAAGGCAAATATCTGCTGAAATTGCATTGTGAGACATATACTTTGCTGAATTGAGTGATATTGAAGTTCTGCAAAGGTACATACATGCTATTATTCCTTTCTGTTCCATGGCAATCTCATAAGAATTAGTGTTGTTCTCCTCTGGACCCATCTCTCCTGGCTCTCATCTATGCTATCAGTGAGGCATACCTTGGCCAGATTTTGGAATGCAGAAGATGTCTAGAAATCCCCCGGAGTGCGTTTGGCATGTCAAACCGGTGGCGACCACCCAAGTGGCACGACAGCCAGCGCGCACCGGACCGCGTTTCCTCGTTCCCGTAGCACCCCGTTCTCCCTGGTCATGGCCGCCTTGCCATCTCACCTCCCCGTGACGCCACCTAGCCCTCACGGCTGTTTCCCCCTTCCCTCTCTGTCTCCGACGCCGTCAGAGAGCGCCATGGCCTCAGAGGTCGCACATGCTGACATGCACACTCGAAGTGGCCTCTCCCAACTGATTGATCCTCAACCAGACCGCAGTATATACAGCGACGTGAACTTTACTGGAAAACAGTACACAGCCCGAGCAAAAGGCCAGTGCCTGTGTACAAATTACAAGCTGATGCTGTAAATAAACTGGAGCGTCTTGGTTTTTTAGCCAGTGGCCATCCATCATATTCATGCAGTACTTGCATGCAAATTGATTCCTGGAGAGTACAAAAAACAAAATTGAAAAGTGGTCGCCCACCGTGGGGGCTCGAAGCCACGACCACAAGGTTAAGAGCCTTGCGCTCTACCAACTGAGCTAGACGGGCTGTCTTGTTTTTGTTTTTATTCCTCACTAACTCTTCCATGCTCCACGCACAGAAGGTAATCAGTCCATCCTACTCCCTAGTCAAAAAAGCAAACACTGATAGAGAAACAAAAGTAGTGCAGGTCAGAAGATGATTGTCGAGGCACTACAGATTTATCTTTATTTCTATATATTGTACACTTGGTACTCCCTCTATGTAGGTTTATAGGACGTGCACGTATTGTTAGGTCCTCATTTCCACCAACCAAACATGTCATGCCGCCAAAAGCATAATAAGAACACCGACTTAGCATTCAGAAACAACGAACGGGACAGTTCAAGTGAAATCAATAAGTTGATAATAATGGACGGAAACTAATTAACCCGAGGTGTGCAGCTACAGTAAACACTACTTGCAAGGCTGCTCCCTTTCCTCGACACTCGGCATTTTTCATGGTGCCATACGAGGGCACAAGTCAGAAAGGGCGGTCGCAGCAGCTACGGAAGCATCAGCAAGCAGGCTCGCGGGAACAAGCACTAGGAACCAGCCAGCAATCTACAATTAGTTAGCCCGTGTTCAACTGATCAACTGTCACCAAAGGACGCTTTGCAGCCGCAGCAGCCACCGCGTTCAGTTGGAAAGACACCCTCTGGCTCTGGCTCTGAGGCTGATGTTGCTCGCTGCCCCTCTGATCCTGCGGATAGCTTGAACTAGGATTGGCAGGGCTTGCGTCGGCTCCCTCGTTGTCATCTTCTACTTCCTCAATCTGAGTTGGCGGCTTCAATGCGGGTAGAAGCTGGTAGTTTTCGCTCAACAAAGTGTCCTGCTCAGGTGGCAGAGGAATCGAGCCAGGTGGAGCAATAGACTTGGGCAGCGGGATTTTGTTCCGGCTGCGCGCCAACTCAAGTAGAACCTGCGACATCAGCAAAAAGACTTGCCATCCACCTATGCATATAGAGTACTTTGTGTCAGCTTGAGTTTCCAAGGATGTGATAAAAAGTAAAACAAGCAGTTGACTTCAAAGCATAACCACATGAGTTGTTCATAGCCTTTATTCACCCAAGATCTTGTTTAGTTGCACTTCTTAGCAGTTAACATGCAAGTGGATATACTTGTGCATGACCCTCAATCTCTAATATCTTCGTACTGCCTAATATGATTCATCAACATTTTAGGTAATATCTTCAGATGCCAGCCTCATATACAATAAGAATCATACACTGTTTGTTTGTGTTTCTATAGATGTCTATCCATGCATTCCAAAACATTGTTTGTACTATGCGTAGCTTGTTCCTGAAGAATTGAAGGGGCGGGAGTGAGAACACTGGTGTATCAGTGAATTGGCAGGTAACAGTCATTATGGAATGTTAGCTTGTTCCTGAAGAATTGAAGGGGCGGGAGTGAGAACACTGGTGTATCAGTGAATTGGCAGGTAACAGTCATTATGGAATGTATGTGGGGAATTCCGTATCGGATAAACCCAGAGGCAGGCACACCTGAGTTGGAATTGGCTGAGAGTTCGTTCAACGAAATAGTCTCTTCTGTTCCCCAAGTTAAGAGTCGTTTCAATAGAACTTGCAGCAGTCACGTTCTGCAGCAGTTTTGACCTTGTATCCGTCCAGGACACTAGTCTCGACTCATGTCCCCTAGCTGCAACGACTGATGCAAGTTACCGATAAAGAAGCCTTCCCCTAATCTCTGTTCGCCACTACCCGTTATCTTTCTGATCTGTGCTGGCTACGGTGCCTCCTCGCCGATACCTTGTCAGCCCTCTGGCATAGGCATAGCGATCTGATCTGAGGCTCTAACAGATGCTCTCCCTTCTGTGCGATTATTTGACTTGACCTACGAAGAGTGTCAAATCTAACAAAATTTGTCGATAATACAAATGATACTGTGGGCTCAGCTGAACATTCCTAACAAGACATGGACTAAATTGAACGTCGATCTTCTGCCCCAACTGGACTCTCATTGCATCATCGGTTACTATCTGCACCCAGGAATTTAAATGTCGGCACTCCCTAGTTACCCACCAAACTAGCAAAAGTTTGGTAGGTTCCAACTTCCCAAAGGATAAACGAGTCATCTTGGTCCTAGTGGTAGAATACTACTTGAGATGATCTGGGTTCAAATCCCACATTCCCTCGTATGTTTTCCTTATAATTTCAGTATAACAATGACTGATATGTTGGTCCCTCGAATGGGCTACAAGTGTGGAGTGTAGACAAAACGGCATCACGTGAGCTTAAATAAAGGACTCAAACCGCAATCTCTGTGTTCCGGATGGTGGCTTCTAACCACCATGTCTGAAGCTTTGATTGATTGTGGAATGCATTCATTTATTCAAGAAGTTGCCCCTTATTTGAAATTTACTAAATTTTAAAAATTTCCCAAAAAATATCTCTCCTGAGAACCAGATATTAACTGAAATCTCAACAGAACACATCATTTCTTGTATCGAGAATGTTTCTGCTGTGACACACCGGCACATTCTCTGTTGTGCCTATCGTTTCCCCAATTGGAATCCACAACATTACTCCCTCCGAATCTGACGGGTTCACAGGAAAGCCGGTCCTCGATCTAGGGTTTAAAGTGGCACCTTGCCCTCGTCATTCACCAACTGAATGAAGCTACGCAACCTAGTAATTTGCCCGACTCTAAGGAAGATATACTCTTGCGTGTTTAGTGAGGTTGGTCGAACTCGAGTAAATAGCATAAAACTACTAGTTTACAGGCTAAGGTTTCAAAAAACTACTAGTTTTTAATTTTTCTCAGAAAGCTACCAAACGCACGGTCCGCTGTTTCAAAAAACCCAAACCCACGGTGACTAGCGATTTAACCGTTTTTCTGACTGCCTGGGCCCATCTGTCAGGCCACGCGCGCTCACGGCGCGGCAGTTGACGGCCGTTAGCCGGCCGGCCCGGTCGGAACTGGGGTAAGTATACCCGCTCGGTCGGTCGGGATCACACGCTCGCTCACTCTCTCGTGCTCGCTCACTCCCCTGCTCCCAGTCCCCTGCTCCAGTACGAGCTCGCCGCCGCGCGCCGTCTTTGAGGCCGGTGGCCGTCGACCTCCTTGCCGCAATGCCTTCTTGGAACGACGAGGAAACCAGCTCGGAGGAGGAGTGCGAGGTTGTCAGCATGGACATGAGACTTATGGTAAGTTCTTTGCCACCTAGGGTTAGGGTTAGGGTTAGGTGCTAGTAGCTTAGGCTTCAGCCATGGATGTTGCTTAGTGTAGTGTTGTTGTTGTGTGTGTGATACTGTTCTTGATTAGTGAGGGTGGGGTTTGATTGTAGGATTGAGGTAACCTAGGGTTCATCTCTGTACAGTGTTAGGGTTCATGCTGATTTGGGGATTTAATGAACAGTGCAAGTTGATTCTGGTATTGAGTGCAGATTGAAACTAGTGTTTGTTGGTTATTATGGTTGTAGGAGGAACCAGACACCACTGTGGAGCCCCTTTTCTGTGGCCAACTTGAGCTTGCTCATCCCAAGTGCATTCTGCACCAACTGAGGCCTATTAAGCGTGTTGCTTTTGAAGGGCCTGTAACAGGGAGGCGTTTCTATGGCTGCCCAGTCCAGGTTAGATGCCAATTAAGTTTTCTGCTATGTATGTTCAGTGATGTTTGATATGATGCAACAATTTGTTTGATATGACAGACACATATGTATTTTTGTCACTTTGGAAACTTAATCATGGCATTGTAATAACTTATCATATCTCATTTATGTTATTAATAGTTAGAAAATCTTAAGTTTATCAAGTTAATCATGGAATTGAAATAAGGTACCAGTCCTTTTGTAATAACTTATCACATTTACAAATGCAGGAAAATGGTGTGAATTGTGGTGTTGTAGAGTGGGTTGATGGGCCTTGGCCAACTGTTCTTCAGAGATGTTTGTGCAAGCTAGGGAGATGTTCCATGAGCAGAACTTTGGAAGGGTAAATGACAAGGAAAAGTTTGAGAAGGAGTTGGCCAGGCTTAAGAGTGAGCATGAAAGGGAGTTGGCCAAGCTTAGGACTGAAAATGACAAGCTTTGCATTGAGTACACCAAGCTTGTTGATGATGTATCCAAGATGTTTGATTGGCAGGATGGTAGGGTGGACAAGCAGGTGTACCAGAAA